ATTTTATTTTTTTTTTTCTTTTCCGTTTTAACAATGTAGTTTTAATTGTTAAAGATCATTGCTGATTTTCTACAAGCTTTGTATTGTTACATTTTCAGAATCAACCAGTTTGTGAGTTGTCCAAAAGGCTAGTTTAGTTGGTCCTGTGAAAACTCTTTACAATTAGGCTAGTGTATGTTAGTTATGTTAGGCTGGTTATATATTACATTTAATTTAATTTTATTTAATTTAATGTTATTTAATTGAAAACTCTTTACAATTAGGCTAGTGTATGTTAGTTATGTTAGGCTGGTTATATATTACATTTAATTTAATTTTATTTAATTTAATGTTATTTAATTAAATTTTATTTTATTTTATTTCAATTTTATTTAAATTTAATTTATTTTTTATTTTTATTTTATTTTTTCTTTCCCGTTTTAACAATGTAGTTTTAATTGTTAAAGATCATTGCTGATTTTCTACAAGCTTTGTATTGTTACATTTTCAGAATCAACCAGTTTGTGAGTTAGGCTGGTTATATATTACATTTATTTTATTTGATTGAATTAGTGTTGAATTGTTTTAATAATGTAGTTTTAATTGTTCAAGAACAACTTTGTCAAATTTCAACCAGCTTTGTATTGTTACAATGTTGGTAGTGTATGTAAATGAACAATGTGTACTTATTTGTTGTTGTTGTTGTAATCTGCCTCCAGAGATCCCTGTTTTGTTTTTTTGGCGAAAGTCCACAAAAAGTGTCATCTAGCTGTCTTAAGTCCTGGTTAAATAATCATCTTTTAAATAATTTTTTATAGCAATGTTATATATTTGTTATATTCATATATTTGATAAATTATTATGATGTTATATATTATATTGTTTAGTAAATATGTATTTTTTGTTTGAATAATAAAGTAAATAAATTAATATTTTTATAACAATATAAAATGTTATAGATTTATTGCTATATATTTTAAATTATTTTTTTTATAAATTACTTTTTCGATTTATGTAAATTTGTCATGAATAATAATATATGAATTTATATTATCCTTAATGTAAATCCACAAGTCAAAATTATATCATAAATTAGTTGCTTTAAATAAAACTACCTTTAATTTAAATATTAACATTGCTATTAAAGATTAGATAAACCGACTAGTCATCTTGATCTGTAATTAACTAGTTGCTTGTTGGTCAATTAGTCAACCATGCATTTCTGCGCCCGTCTCTGCAGGGACAGCACCGAGGAGCTCATGGAGCTGTCTGAGGAGGAGCGCAATGAACTGATGAAGAAGGAGAGCAGCCGCCTGCTGAAGACGGGCCACCGGGTCAGCTACTCCCCCCGCAAAGAGAAGGCCCTCAAAATTTACTTAGACGGAGGGCCCACCAAAGACCCTGGACAGGACTGAGAGGGGGAGGAAACTATCCTTCCCTATTTTCTATCTGGCCTGCCAGCTGCAGTGTAGTGCTGCCTCTCCAGCGACCCTGGCATTTGGGCCCCACGTTGAATCAACGTCACCAGTGCTGTCCGGCTGACGCTCTCTTCTTTGAGCTCCAGAACGTATAGTGTGGCTCAGAGTACTATTGTGCACCATAGTTTATTGTACTGTAAAGTTTAAAGGGAAGTGCAAAAGCTATTTCAAGTTCAATATTATTCAGATAAATCAATTTAATAATACAGAGACGGGTGCACTCGTTAGAGGAAAGGGGGCAGTTTGGGAGAGATATTTTATGGCCCTCTTCATTTCTTTCGTCTGTTTGCACTCTCAGTGCACCATCTCCATTGATTTTCGTCCCGTCGTTCTGCATTTGCTGTTTGTCCATCACTCACTCTCTGATTTTGAGATGCGATCGAACGCATCGAATTCTCACGTTCTCGACGTCCATCATCCTGAGTCTATTCAGCACTCGAGCACAGCGCGTAACGTATCCAGCCACCTCCGAACGCCCGCAGGGGTGACGGCACTACTCATCTTCCATTGCGTAGAGCTCTTTGATCTACACTTTCACTTGAAGTTTTGGGTATGATGCTCTCACCTGAATATTATTATAGATTATCTCTCCTTTTGTTTATTTAACATAGTTGTGAAATTAAATGCTTCTTTTCTGGCTGAAGAGGTTCTATTCTTGCAGTTCATGCTTCCTTTTGTGTGTGGGTGTCGCCCACTGACTGCTGAAGCTCCGCCCACTTTGTAGGGAGCTCCGCCCTCCTCCTCTCACTACACTTCCTACTGGGGCTAGTGACACTGGTACCTATGAATTTGCAAGCCTTTAAGAGTAGGGCGATATGAATCAAGTAGTGCGCTTCGTTCACCCGATTCATTTTTTTGTTTTTGTTTTGTTTTTTCTTGTAAATTATTTCCCTACAGACTGATGACGACGTTAGGTCTTGTGAGTGACTTTTAATGGCACGTGTTTTAATTTTTTGATCTGTACTCGGCTTTTCTTTTTCCATTTAGACATGTCCTGTGTTCTTTTTCGTTTTTTGTTTTTATTTCTGCACAATGTGAACAGAGCCTGTGGGTTCGGATGTGGCAGGTTTGCGTGTGTGCATGCGTGGAAATGCTTCTCGCTACTGTTTTCGCATAGCTGGAAAGCGGAGGGTGCGTACGCCCCACTGGAGGAGCGCCAGTGTCGGAGCTTGACTGAACCTCTGCGGGTTCCTGGGCTCCTAATGCTGCCAGAAGCTGTTCACAATAGACATGCCAATACTGAAATAAAAAGCAACAATCAATCTCTGTCTGCCTGCTTCCAGGTTGACGTATACGAAGAGCTCATATTTTAAAGAAGAATATGATCTGCTATTTTATGGGGTTATATAAGGAATCAAATTTTGCTTGATTTTATGAAATTATACAAAAAATGATATAAAACTATATTAGCATACTATAACATACAAAACATTAAGATGTCTTTAAAAGGGATAGTTCACACAAAAATGAAATTTTTTTCATCATTTACTCACCCTCAAGTTTACTCACCCAGAAGAGTTTTTCTTCTGTTGAACGTAAAAAGATATTTTGAACAATGTTGGTTACCAACGGTGCTGGGGGTAACGCATTTCAGGTAACGCGAGTTACGTAATCAGATTACTTATCAGATAACTAGTAAAGTAACGCATTACTTTTTAATTTACAAGAGAATATCCGAGTTACTTTTTCAAATAAGTAACGCAAGTTACTTTTTTTATTTTCAAATTTATTGATTGACAGCTCTCCTGTCCCCATGTTGAGAGAAATCAGAAGATGTTACTGTAGTTCTAAAATAAATATGAATATGCATTAATTCATTTCACTCAAAAAAAAACAACACCGATTCAGTATTCCTCAAAATGAATAAAAATAATGCAACTCAGAATGACGCAAACCTGCAATAATTAAATGTTAAACAACACAAATATCCTTTATGTATTTAATCCCATTCTATTAACCAATGTCTTTGCTTCTGACCTTCGATGATCCAGTTCGACCGTACTAATAAGCAAAAATTACTCTAGACAAACATTTGTGTCTTTTTTTTATTGCTGAAGTGTGTTGAAATTTCTTCTTCTGCATTCTACTGTACGGATGTAAATTTACTTTCCCTTCAGCCTGAGGCTTATTCATTTCACTTTTGGTGTGAAAAGGCTTTTATATTTGCCAAAAATATAACTTTTTTATTTTAAAAACAAACAAGCATGCCCTGTCCAGATTTAAAAAGTAACGCAAAAGTAACGTAACGCATTACTTTCCATACAAAGTAACTAAGTAACAATTAGTTACTTTTTTATGGAGTAACGCAATATTGTAATGCATTACTTTTAAAAGTAACTTTCCCCAACACTGGTTACCAAACAGTTGACGATAGCCATTGATGTTCATAGTATTAAAAAAAATACTCTAGATGTTAATAGCTACCATTTTTCGGAATATCTTCTTTTGTGTTCAACAGAAGAAATTCTAAAATCTTCAGAACAACTTGAGGGTGAGTAAATAATTTTAATTTTGGGTGAACTGTCCCTTTAAGCTGCAGAAATGGTTCATTCATAAATAGTACTAATTTCTCATGTGCCGGTGGTGTTTGCGTAGTCTTAAGGTGTGGTCACATTAACGGCATTTCATGCAAAAAATGTCCATTGTCTTGTTGTCAAGTATAGCAATATATAAATCACAGCTCAAAAAGAAGTCACTTTCAAATTAAGTGGCTTTCTGTTGGGCAATGGGCAGATCCACATGACCAACTTGAACCCAATCTGCAAGGGGAAATCTTTGCCCTTGTGCAAAATTCACAATTGGATGGATGAATTCCTATTGAAATGGATGCATTTAGTCTGCGAAAGTTCTCCGAACTGACATTAAATTTTAAACCCACACTTTTAAGGTGAAGTCACATTAGCAATGTTTAGGCAAAATTTTATGGGCAAAAAAATGTCTGCTGTTAATAGTGTAGCCATGGTTGAAGCATAGCTCACACAGAAGTCATTTTCAAACCAAGCCGCTTTTTTATTGGTCAATACAGCAAATTCACGTGACCAACTTGAACGCATTGTGAAATCTGCATGGGGAAATCTTTCACGCTCATGCGAAATTTGCACAGATTCCTATTGAATTGACTGGATTTCGTCTGTGAAAAATCTGGCAAACAACAGTAAATGTGACCACACCTTTACACCTTTTAACTCTCAAAAAAAAAAAAGGGGGTTTCTGGTGAAAAATTCAAAACTTTGGTTCATATTATATATAAAATATATAAAAACATGTTTTTCAACCTTTTATTTTCTGGAGCAAGTTTGTGTTCATTACCTGGGTAAATTACAAGAGGTTTCTTGTATGGGTGCGTCACTTTGGCTGCTACACTAAACTAAGATGGGATAGGCTCTCAACAGAGTTTTCCTCTTTCCATTTTTCTGCCTGATGTATTCTTAAAGCATTAATACTGTACATTAATAATAAGTGCTTCTTTCCAATGCTCAGAAGCCACAGTTGAGCTTAACACTTGAGGGCTGTTCACACTGACAATGATTTGATCTGCTGGATGCCCAAATATTACTGGCTGGGCTCCCTTACAGGCCGTAGCTTTGAAAATCTGATCACAAATCCAATTAAACAAATCATCATCCTATGCAAAAGCGCATGAATCAAAGTCGCAGGGAATGTAACTCACTCAACTACAGTATCTCGCATGTGACTGTTGCATGAAGTTTTGTCGTGTCATTTGATGCCTCCAACCATCACTCGTGTCCTCTCAAATCGCCAACTTTCTTTGGAAATTAATGGCTTCCAGGCAGCTTGATACTTTAAAATCGCTGTCAGTGTGAACGGTCTTTAGATTCAGGCCTTCTGCACATTTACAGCTGTTTGGGTGATTATAATGAAGGCGTTTCCTATAAAGCTTTGGAGTGACGATGAAGCGTTCATGTCTGTTTCAGCAGCTTCTCTTCATCTGTCTGTCAAACAGGCTTGAGTCTCACTAGACGATGTAGTCAATCTCAAGAGTAGAGAGTGTCAGTGAGCTCCTCCTCGCTGGAGTTCAGACTCTTTAGGCACAGTGCACCTCGTCTGATAAAGAGAGTGACCACAATTTAATTTTAATCTTTCATATATTATTTCATGAAGTCAAGAAAACAGTCTTTTATGATCAACAAGGCTGATCAAAAATACAGGAAAAATTACAGTAATATGAAATATAATTGAAATGTGATTTATTCATGTGATGCAAAGCTGAATTTTCAGCATCATCACTCCTGTCTTCAGTGTCACATGAGGGCTTTCAGAAATCATTCTAATACAATGATTTGCAGCTCAAGAAACATTTCTTATATTATCTATGTTGAAAAACTTTGCTGCTTAATATGTTTGTGGAAACTGTGATACATTTTTTTTCAGGATTCTATGATGAATAGAAAGTTCAAAAGAACAGCATTGATTTGAAATAGTGTCTTTTATAAGATTATAAATGTCTTTACTCTCACTTTATAGCAGTTTAATGCAACCTTGCTTTTATTTAAAATTTCGTTCTTAAATAGTGCACATAAAAGAAGTTGATCACTAAAAACTAGAGTTTGGCCAGGAACTTACTGTCATTGGGGTTGTTTTCTGCAAATATCTGCATATTAGAATGATTTCTGAAGGATCATGTGCCACTGAAGACTGGAGTAAGGATGCTGAAAATTCAGCTGTGCATCACCAGAATAAATGACATTTTAAAATACATCAAAATAAAAAAAAAACAGTTCTTTCAAATAGTAATAATATTTCACAATATTACTGTTTTACTGTTTTAAATCAAATAAATGGTTAAAAAAAATCTTACTTCAAGCTTTTGACTGGTAGTGTATAAATATTAATATGTACATATTTATGTCATGTTAAGTGAAAACAGCCAGAAGATGATGGCTTCTTACCCAAGATGTTGGCACTGTAGATCACCGGCACATGGGCAGTGCTCTTGAGGACCCTCCCCCTTCAAATCCCAGGACAGCAGCTCCATCAGGTGATTGGCTGAAATGATGCAGCGCTCACGTTCTATTGGCTTAGAGCTGCACACTGGAGACAGCAGGGCTGAAAATTGAAAACGAGTAGTTAAACTATATGCGCTATTCAGCAGGTGCAGATCAAGATGTTTAACAGACAATGTAACATGCTCATATGATGCAAGATAATCATACCTTTATGGAAGGCACAGCAGAACTCCTCCTTACAGTCACTCTGGTACTGACAGATGGTTCCTGCTTCTCCCTTTGTGCTGTTTGCACACTGACCCCACACACACAGCTGTCCCGCACAGCATTCCTCATCTTTGATGCATGTCTTGAGGGGAGATGCAGGACATGCAATGGATTGAGACCTCTTAAAATATTTCAGCATACATATTTCATGCTTGCATTGAATCAAGCTATTTATTCTTTCATAACACTGATGCACAGCAATGCATCTCAAGAACACTGACTGTAGGAATTACTCATCAACCCACAGGTTCTTTACGAAAAATGATCAAAGTACAGAGTATATTTAAGACTAGACGTAACCAGACTTAGCCTGTGCAAACATTAGTGCCAGGGTTTTGCTCAAGTGTTCGGAGTAAGAATAAGAATCGTTAAGAATGTAATGATTCAGATTACTTAATGATTCTTTCATATCTGAAAAAGCACAGTGTTGCATTTACTGCTCTCAGCATTGTGTTATAAATGAGATCAATTAAGATTTCAACAGAACAGGTTTAACATCTCAGAAATGTGAAATAATTCTTGTAAAAGATCTTTACACGGACAAAAATACAAACTTGTGGTTCAGTATGTGAATCGGCCTGTATTCACAATACATTTTTTGTGGCTTTTATCTCACAGAGACCTGGGCCTGTATTCACAAAACATTTTATCTTACCACTAAGAGTTCTCCTAAATAGCAGTAAAAGTTTTTAGCTAAGAGTTTTATCTTAAAACCTATTCACAAAGCTGCTGAGACAAACTTTTACTAAGGAATAGAGAGAAGTCTTAAAGGCACAATATGTAATTTTCGCCGCTAGATGACGCATATTCAAAATAAACAAAGAGGCAAAGGCGTAGTTTGATGACGCCATCACTGAGTGTGGAATCATGGGAGTTGTCATCTTCATCCCCACAGCCGATGCAATCCGACGGGACTCGGGCAGAAATTGGCAGTTGGATGAGCTAATGATTTGTTAACGTCATTAGCGTCATTATATGTGCCAATTAAAGGGGTCAAACAAAGAAACAAAGGCATAGTTTGATGACGCCGTGACTGAGTGTGGAATCATGGGAGTTGTCATCTTCATCCCCACAGCCGATGCAATCCGACGGGACTCGGGCAGAAATTGGCAGTTGGATGAGCTAATGATTTGTTAACGTCATTAGCGTCATTATATGTGCCTATGTATAAATCTCTGACAGAGCCTGCCCCTATCAGCCAATCACTGTGTGCATAGTTACTAAGCATGCTGACATCATCCATAGCAACGAGGTCAACCTTACTCTTACCTTAAGACTTCTCTCTATTCCTTAGTAAAAGTTTGTCTCAACAGCTTTGTGAATTGGTTTTAAGAGAAAACTCTTTTACTGCTATTTAGGAGAACTCTTAGTGGTAAGATAAAATGTTTTGTGAATACGGGCCCTGGTTCATAAGAGTAATTTAGGATTCAGACTCCACTGGTTGTGCGGCATGCTATTGATTCACTAAAAAGTATTGTCTCACATGAGTCATTTGTTCAGGAATTGGACTCCACTTGTTTACATTGCAATTGTGTGCTAAAAAATGGCTAATAAGAGTTATTAGTGTGAGAATCAGACTCCTCCACTGGTTGCACTATATGTTATTGATTCACTAAAAAGAAAAAGCTCAAATGAGTCATTCATTAGCAAATCAAACCATGCAGGTTACACAGTATTCCACTGGTTGTGCGGCATGCTATTGATTCACTAAAAAGTATTGTCTCACATGAGTCATTTGTTCAGGAATTGGACTCCACTTGTTTACATTGCACTATATGTTATTGATTCACTAAAAAGAAAAAGCTCAAATGAGTCATTCATTAGCAAATCAACCATGCAGGTTACACAGTATGCTATTAATTTAGTAAAAAGTACTTTCTCATAACAGTCATTTGTTAGGGAATCAAACTACTGGTTGTTCTGTACGCTATTGATTCACTAAAAAGAACTGGCTCAAAATAATCATTCATTAGCGATTCCAGCAAATCAAACTCTGCAGGTTGTGCTTTATGCTACTGATTCACTAAAACAAGAACTGGCTCATAAGACTCATTAGTCAGGGAATCAAACTCTACAGGTTGTGCTTTAATTCAATTAAATTCAAGTTTATTTGTATAGCGCTTGTCACGATACAAATTGTTGCAAAGCAGCTTTACAGAATATTACGTTTCTACAATATATTTAGTAGTAGCTTGTCAGTGGTGACTATGTCAATGACTTTATGTTACTGATTCACTAAAAAGAACTGGCTTGTAAGTCATTTGTTCAAGAATCAGACTCCTCAGGACATGCTGTATGTTTATTACTATTTATTGCTTCATGTCAGTGCAGACCTCCAGTGTATTTTTTTCACCCTTTTATTATCTGCTAAAAGAAAATCTTAGAAAACTATTAGCACAATGTTCCATACATATGTTTATGTTTGTTCAAAGCCTTAGCAAGGCTCTCTAATAAGCAGACACAGTTTGTTTTGATTGGGTGTTAGAATCTGCTTCAACAATATTCTGCAAGAGTAATGCACATCTGTATTCTGCTTAGTTGGCTACCCTACTTCCTGTGCCGCGAGGTGAACTCAATATGTCCTATCTTGGGCCGAAGAAGCTGCTCATATTTAGCAATCTGTGCACTTTGATGTGAAACCCAAAGGAGAAACGCTTCGGCATATCAGATTCCAGGTTCGCTCGTACTGCAATGCAGTCACAATGCAGGCTCAGTTGCATCATGTTATTGGAAAGCCACATTACTGCGTATTATATTTGTGCAGAGACCCAGAGAAAACAGAAAATAATGAGCAAATGAAAATAACTACGGACTAGGCTGAACACCTAACATGTAATAAGCAAACTTGATGATCTCTTACTGGATAATAGCAGAGGCCAAGTGTACTTCAAATGTGCCTGGTCTGTGAAATTTGAAACCGCTTACCGGCATCAGTGTGTTTGCAGGGCAGACACTTTGAGCTCTGTGTTTCGTAGAGACAGTAGCTGCCCTTCTCACAGTCTTCATCAATGATACACTCCTGAGAGACAGAAGGAAATCATTTAAAACCTTCAAGAAGGAACAGATCGAGCAACATGTGAACTAAAATAAGAGTCATAACCCACACATCTATGTGAGGAATACATCAATAGCATAGCTGTACTTCACAGAGTTAAAACAACATTCACAGGATTTTGGGAGGATATGAGGTGGTCATATGATAGGTGCAGTATTTTTCTACATCCCCACATTTAGGCTGATGCTGAAGTGTTGGACAAAAAGCTTTTTATCCCTTAATGCTCCATTTCCCTCCCTTTTCATCATGGTTCATAAATATTTAACAGGGAAAAAGTCATTCCTTCCATTACCTTTAGAAGAATCAAACGAGTGATTTAAACCTATTAAATGCAATCACTGCAATTATATTATTATAAATCAGACTCATAGCGACAGTTTATCCAAAAATGAAAATTCTGTCATTTACTCACCCTCATGTCATTCCAAACCGGTATGACTTTCTTTCTTTTGCAGAACACAAAAGATATTTTGAAGAATGTTGGTAACTAAACCCTTCTAGTTACCATTGACTTCCATTGCGTAGAAAAAAATCTCAAATTATCTTAAATTATGTTCCACTGAAGAAAAAAACGACACGAAATTACACAAGGGTGAGTGAATAATGACCAATTGTGATTTTAGTCAATATCTGTTTGGTTGTCTATAGGCTAGTACACTCCTAAATGTTTATTTTTGCAAATATACATGTTTAAAATGGAAAAACATCATCTGGAAAAAATAGACCAAAATATTTATGACTCATCCTGCACTACACAGATTTTTGTTCAATCAAATGCTGTCTAGAACAAGTGTCCCTCCCTCTTATACCACCTGCAACTGACTAGCAAATCATCATTCATGTGATTTTATGTCTATTAAAGCAATAAGCCCCAAGAAGCCGTGGTTTACAGTGAATTTATAACAGCTAAGGG